AACATTGACAAGAAAAAATACCAGTGATTCAATCGGATTTTTGCTTGAATCAAAACGAAATCCGCTTAAATTAAGAGGCTTGGTTCTTGATTTAAGCTAGATTCTGATTGAATCAAGAGTACTTTTTCTTGTCAATGTTTTTAAGAGTCTAAACTCGAGATCCAATGTGTTTTTTTTCCAGTGTGGCCGACGGCCAATGGCATGTGACAGGTCTCGGATTTCCTCTGTTTATTCGGTCGAAAACGTCTGTGCATAGTTATTGGAGGCGAGACCTTTTCACGATCGGGCTTTGAAGGCGTTTGAAATGGATACTGTGGGCGGGATGAATTCACTGTGCATGGATTACCGTAAAATTGCGCAAAAAAGTCTCAGTTTCGCAGTTGCCGTCTTCACTTACTCGTCCGCGACTCTTGCATCAGCATGAATGGAGACTCTCAGTTTTACAGACGCGGGTGAAAGGTCTTTGCCACAATGCAGCCGACCTATATTCGCCGACGCAGATGGGTAATCGCCGGTGAAGAGGTACTATAATTGTCTTGTGATACGTGTAACTTGCCTAATAAATAGACATCGGTGTACGGGTTTATACTACGAAATCCTTGAGGACTCAGTCGAGACTTTTAATGGCTGAGACTCTGTAGATTTTATGAATATATGTGTGACTGGTGTCATAAATAAACCTTGCAGTGATTAAGATGCGTCCTCTGAAATTCATCGCGAAGTACTTTTCTGAACTACGACGGTTCTCCCTCTTGTTAAATTGTGACCGTCCATGCTGCGGTGCTGAGGAAGAACGCCGTATAAAATCCGAGAGTTGCCAAATTTCCCTTGATAACGCATTGTTAACGTTGATTTCTCCTCTCTCGGTTTTTTTTTTTTTTTTTTTTTTTATTATAATAAAAATGAATTGTTGTTTACTAGCATGAATAATAAAATTAGTTTGGCTAATATAATATTTTTCTACTTTTATGATCTCTAGGCTTTTCGAGATTTATGATCCTCATAATCCTGATAAATTCATGTATATTTTTCCGGGAAATTTTCAGATATTTTAAATGAAATTGTGTACAAAATTTTCTAAAAATTTTGGAAAATAATATCCACAATTTTCCCAGTAAATTCGGTTTTTATCGGAGGAGACTTGGCTACGTCTGAAGGCTCATACGGCGTTCTTCCTTAGCACGGCAGCATGGGAAAAGGATCCGTACTGCCCTGCTAAGGAGTCCGTTTGAGCCCTTGGGACGTTGCCATTTTTCCCGTAACATAAAAATACAAATTACTGGAAAAATTGAGGATACTTTTTTTCAAGTTTTTCTGACAATTTTTTTCGTGTTACCGGCAAACCTAGTTTTACTACTAGAACTCCGGACGAAACTTTTTTTAATGTTGTGAGGCGGGGGTTACTGTTTGGTGTGGACCAGTTTCTGCTTATTAATTTAATAACACATATTTCTGGTTATCAATTGAACAAGTGGAAATGGGAGGTATTTTTAGATCAGCTTTGGTTACGAGCGTGAGACATCTATGATCTACGACAACCTTCATTCAACAAAATGACCCATCTCAAGGTATTTCTTCTCGGTCTGGTGCTCTCGCGGAATGCGGCAAGGAACTCGAAGTATTCGCAGCTCTCCCGATTTTACGGAGGAAATTTTTCTAGTACAGCTATTATTAAACTACAAGTTTTTGTTGCAAAATTTTACAAGGCGTATCATTAATACTTCATTATCAGGTGTCAAAACGACATCACTCATATTTTGGTAGAAAAAAAATTCAGGCTATCTTAGTCGAGGCGTTGTTATTTCTTTATACGTTTTAACTCAGTTTTCAAGGTTTCAAGATGGCAGGAATACTATTTTGGAGGATTAAATTTTAATGATTCTATTTAAAGAATTTGGAAGGTTGCCGAATGACAACAGGGATCAACGATAGACGGACGTTTTCAGACTAGTTTTTTCTTCTTCTTCATTCATTATTCCAAATGGGCATTTGAGACTTATTAATTCACTTAGCGAAGAATTGGGGAGCTCTTGAGTTCCGCGGCACTGAAATTGTCCAGTTTTGTCTAAAAATTATTGGACGTTATGAGTCAGTGTTAGAAAATTGAATTTAGAGTGCTTATCATACAGGGATCACCTCGTTCTACGGACCCCCAAATTCAGTGCGCTCTTTGCGGTTATCAGGATACAGCTCTTAGTAGAGAACACCAACCTACTCGGATGATAGTGCCGCAATTCGGTTCGGTGAAGAAAGTGATTCCTCTCAACGAAACGAAGTCTTGGTTCACAGAGTGGAAAAACCGTTTAATGCAATGATTTCGACATACAAAATGTTTCATAAGAGCCAAAGTTTCAGTTTGTTGAACTGCAACTTCAGCTCTGCGAACTTAACTCAGCTCTACCAATCGAAGATGTTGGTTTCTTTGACTTCATGCAAGCTCAGTTTTCTGGACCGAAGAGCGCTTATTGATATGTTAGTTCGAAAGACCAAAAATTTTTCTCTTGATGGGAGGAATTGTGTAAACAGAGCGGTCAAATCGAGGAAACGTGTTTGAAGGGCAACATTCAGCAGAGCAGCAATTCGCGGGAAAATCAGCTTCAGATGGGGAAAGTCCAAAGGTCATCTAGTTATCATGAATTGATCAACCTTTGATGGCAGGGTTTCTATTTACTTTGGCTTTTATTCTAGGAATCTAGGATATTCCTTCTTCGTGGCGCGGTGATCAATATGCCAACAAGGTCACGTTAGGTCTCCCATTAAAGTTTTGTCGTGTGCCGGGTTGCAATGTTTCCGAGCCAATTTTTCTTTTATTTTTTTTATTTTTTGGGTGACCATGAGTTAAAAAGGCGAATTTCCGCGGAAATATGATAGTTAAGCCCTCAAATGATTCCCACCCGAGACCGATGACTTCAATTTTTTTTAAATTTTTGTGTTATTTCCTTGTAGAATTGTGAGTTTTACTAAAATCGTATGTATAAACGTGCCCACTCAGTCTCAATCAGATTTTGCGGATTCCATAAAAAAAATATTAAGAGGTGGGCTTAAATAATTATGGCGAGACTGGCAACATCACAGCAGGTGACAATCTTCAAAAGTTGGCACCAACCCTATTTTTACCGCGAAATTCAAAGTTACCGCCATTTTTCCGGGTCCGAATTTCTTCCAGAGGGCTAAATATCCCTATCCATACTCCTCCTAAATAAAAATGGTATCTTTTCTCAAGAGATCAGAGGCGGATCCAGCAATTTGACAACACCATTTATACCTATTCTAAATAATCGATTCTTGTGGGGGAACCTGGCCCCTCCAAGAATCGATACATTTCCATAAGTTTAAATGGAGAAGAGACAATTTTGCCAGTTTGCTAGAACCGCCAATGCAAGAGACTCGGCGAATTTTTTGATTATATTATTGGCGATGATTGAACGTTCAGGTCGTCGTTTTTTGCGGACGTTTGCGATAATTGCGGAATTGTGACGGACGGTACGATTGGCGAAACCGGTTCGGCGTTATCACTGCGAGGATCGCGTATTTGAATGGGGTTCCCGCGGCAGTTGTGCGGTTGTTGCTTAGCGCGACGGATCGGTGCACCGTTGACCGTTGCACGGTGAGCTTGCTGCAACGACGCCGGCCGCCACCGGTTTCAAAATGCACCGGGAGCCTCGCTTGCAAAACCGACGCGACCGGCGGGATTGACGTCTCGATTCCGTTCATTTACATCGGCCGCCGCGTTTAATTGTCGCTTCTGCGCATGCGCCGACGTCCGAATGACTCCAATGAACCCGGCTCGACGCGTCACCGTTGTCGAGTAGTGGACTCGAGTTCCGAAATACTCCAGTCCTCACCAAAAACGCCGTAACTGCATTACACTTTTTTTCAGTTTTTTACTGTACCAAAAAACCAACGCATCCTTCTTTGCATCCTCCTTAAATCTGAAGAGCACAAGACATAAGATACAATATAGACGGCGCATAAAGATGCCGTGGCGTGACGATAGGTAAGCAACCCGGATTGCACGTAGTGCTGGAAAATTCGAGGGATCGGCGACATAGGCAAAACGGACGCTGGCCGCACACATGATGAATCCTTGAGTGTAATGAGCCTTTGCGACTTTCCGGCTGCAGATACAGCCAAACAGACGAAATTTTTGCTCTCTATTCCGCAATTGGACGTATTTCTATCAATCGGACCTAAATAAGCGTCATAGGGTGAGGAAGGTAAAGGGGAGCTTGGATTGGTGGCGGAATCGGGCGATCGGCTTATTCCGTCCTATACTCGCAATGCTTTTCCATGGCGCTTAGGTCCGTTTGACAGAACGCGCTATCCGGCATTCTAAATTCCTCAAAAGGAACTCCAATTGGCGCTTAGTTCCGTTTGATAGAAATACGTCCAATTTGATGATTTCTATTGAGAAACATCACTATTTTTGCCAACATATCAATGTAACTACCAAGCTCAAGAAAAACCCTCAACGCTGAGGCTGTAATGGAGGGCGTCCGCAGTCCCCCAAGCCCACGCCCTACTGAGAGCTCACCCCTATATCCAATCAAACTCTCTTTGCACAGATAGGGGGTATATACTCACTCCTTACATTAGCCCGGTTGCCCAATTTTTTGGAGACTCCAAGGCTGGAAAAACGGCAACCCTGCTGATTTATTCGCTCAATATGTATGCATGTGGAGTTCGAATATATAAAGATATGGACTCTTAGTGTAGCGTGCAGGATCTTCTCAATTACCTACTAAGTGCCTGTTCCGAGATTTGGAGTTTTTTTAAGAGAACACCAGGGGCACAATCTTGTCTCTTGCAAAATTTTGCTTAAGAGGAAGTCCGTAAATTGCAAATCATTGAGGCATGCAAGAGCTCTATTACACGTCTACTTTTTAATATATGTATCATAGCTATCATCGTTATCAAGATAAATTGAACGATTTCTTTATTTAAAGACCTTACGTTGTAAGATGGCGGCTTTAATCATCTGATATGGTGCATAAACTTACTTGAAACCGGTAAGAACGTTGAGTAGGGAAGATTTGCCGGCCCCGGATGGGCCCATGATAGCTGTGAGTTCTCCTGACTGAAATCGACCCGATACACCTTTCAATATCCTTTTCTTTTCTGAAAAAAACCAAAAAGAGAAAAAATTAGACAAAAATTCTAATTTAATAGTAAACTAAAATGTACTAAACGTATTGTATGGTGAACAATGAACAATGGTACTGTGTACGTATGTACTAAATGTACAGAGGAAGGATAAAAAAGCACGAAAATAATCTGAGAAAGAGACAGAGGAAGAGAAGGAGAAGAAGAAGGAAAGTAAAGTGTCCGATGAAGGTAAGGGGTGAAGAGAAGCTGGGAAGGTGTAGCGCGCTCAACGGAGAAAGTGCTTGGGTATATGGTGATATGGATCGAAGAAAATATGAAAGGACGACATGGTTGACAGCCTTCGACTGAAAACGTGTAATTTTTCCTTCAAATACTTTTATACTAAGAGTAAATTCTACATTTTTTCGAAATAAATTTCTTCTATAAACCAGTCAAAGAACATCCAGTGCTTATAACGCGATAAATTTCGAAAGATGTTAAAAATAGCAGCGTCTTGTATAGTTGTTGGTGTGGTCAAACGTATTTTCTACAATGTGCGTGTTTGGCTGCACAAGAAGATTCCTAGAAAAGTTGGATTTTAAGCTCAAAGGCAAATTATATAAAAAAGGAGGTAATAAATAAACTCGAGGTTATTTAAAACCCAAATTATTACCCTATATTGTTTATGGCAGGAAAATTCAACGACACCCTTTTTTTTCGAAACACTCAAAGTATGTTAAGGAAAAACTGATTCTTTCTTTAAACCATTTAGGAAAAAAATTATCAATATAAATTGGTTGTATGAAGTAAGTCTGGTTAAAAATAAATTTAGAAAATTTAAATTTTAACGCCGCGGCAGCATTTCAAGCTTTTTTATAAGCCATGGGACTCAATGTATAGTTTTAAAACCTCACAGTCGTTTCTCTAAAAATAAAATACAAAAAAAAAGAAAAATCATTAACTTCCTTATCGAACTGAATGCTTTAATTGTTCGAGCTAAACATCGAATTGTCGCAAAAAAAAAAAAAAAATGCAAATTAATCGGTAACACAACGCCGTTCAATTTCGCTCTGTGAATTTAAGGACATCCCTGAGAGGTGACCTCTCTCTTGTGACCTTGTCATGTGCATTGAACGACTTTCATAAACCTGACACGAGGCATTCATTTCACCAGAAGAAATGCACTGTGACAACATTGCGATTTATAGCAAGTGCCATGACTCTGGCGAGGGTGCCAAATGGCGAAAGGAATCCTCCAAATTCACTCTGAATTTTATGGGAAATGCGGCGTATTGTTCAAAATTTACGGTGATTAGGCGCCACTGGCGATGACGAAACGAAAATACAATTCTCTCGATTTCCATGCTCTTTACTCGTCTATGAGCTCGATACCAAGAACCGCCAAAGGACGACAACGACTTGCTTTGTAAGTTTCACAGTCTGGACGATGGAAATTTAAAAAGCGTTTTTTTAGTGATTGATGTTCGGCTAATCGATCAGTACCCATATTTAACTTTCAATTTATTTTACACTGTTTTTTATCCTAATCGCTGAATGATCTTTCTTCGCTGTACTTGATCTACACACTTTGAGGAAAGCTTGGAAAAATGTGTCATACCTTTTTAAAGTGCATGTAATTTTATTAAGATCTTAAATCATCTTACAATGAGCATTATTGAACAACGTTTTTTGGCGACGAAAGCAAAAACACGAGGTAAAAAAAAGGATCGAAGTGTTTTTTTTTCCTTTCTTTAAAATACCTGACGTCTTAGTATCGTCTTGGCAAAGTGGAATTTTCGTAGGTATTACTCGCGTGGAAAGCCTCACTACGTCGTGCCTGAAAGATGCGAAAGCGGTTGTTTTTTCCTTCGAAATTCATTTTGAAACCAGAAAAATTAACGTAATTTAATTATTCTTTCCTTTTTTAATGGATAAAACCAAGCATTTCCTGCAAATTCCTTGCTTTCTTCAATAATTATAATAAAAACGAAAATTGTATTCGAAAATATCGAGGTGAATTCCTCTTGGAACTAACAAACGCTCCCAATTGCAAGATGTCGTCTTCACAACATCGAGCATAGAAATATTAATGTTGACAATTCCAGTTTTTACTATTTTAGAGGCGTTGTCACCACGCTCACTGGAAAAAATAGTTTAATGTCAATGGAACAAATAAAAGTGCTTTGCTTGGTCTTCTCCCGCACGCTAGCCAAACCAGCCCCGGACCGAAAAAGCAAGATAAAAAGTTGTTTCAACCCCCTAATTAGTTTGTCCAAAACTTTCTTTCTCAGAGCTCCATAGTCACATTTTGGCTAATAAATGATGATGTCGTCATTCACTAAGCATGGAAATGTCCCGTAGATTGGATCTTTATCGAATCACACGCAGATGGTTTCCGTAATACAACCAAGGTTGACAATTGCTTTTTCTCTCATCGCATACGAGTAAATGACTCTGCTTTTCCCCCGATCCGATTACATTGGTCTTATGCAGATCGGGGGAACTATGCAATGGAACAGCGCAAATTGGGAAACATTTGGAAAGTAGTGAAGCAGCAAATCGGATGAGTTCGTCGCCAGATCGGAAAATTCCAAAGAACATCTTGTCAACGGACTGACCTAGGTCCATCGACCTTGATTTTGAGTAAGGCGCTTTGCGGAGTCGCCGGAGCGTTTTTTTAAGAAAGTGAAGAAAGCGAAATAAGTAATGAGGTTCGGTTATTTTTAGAAGAGCATGAATTTTGCTGAATATTCATGATTGCGGTCCCCTCTCATTTATAAATGAGGAGGCCGATTTTCCATAGCGTCAGGTAGAAAAACTTTCCAGCCGGTAAATTAAAGCATGCAACAGTTTTTCCTCGTTAAGTTTCGTATGTCAGTGGACTCATTTACCTCCAGCATTCCGTTTTTTATATACGGGTGGAGAAGCAATCGAGATTTTTTTTGCGAGCTGATTCTCTCCTCTCTTATTTTGGAAAGGAATTAGAGGTTCCATCACAAAAACGACGGCTGAGTTGACAGTAGGTGAACAAAACTTCGATACCACTCCCTGTTATTCTATCTACGATATATCTAATATTTATCGTGAGTAGGTTTATCGTGCATCAAAAATAATTTTAAATATTTGGAGACAATTTAGAAAAGGTATGATTCATATGAATCAAATCAGTAGACAACATGTATTTTCTTTAAAATTTCACTAGGAAAACGAATCACACAGCGAGAAGTCTACAAATAAACTCCTGTACCGTATATGAATGTAGACAATTAACGTTGGTTATATCGCAAAGATACAATAAATGACGTAATTTGTATATGAATCAGTGAGAACGAAAACAAACCAACTCGGTAACTCAAAAATGCTCAATTTTCATCAAAGAGAGTCAGTTTTCATAAAGGTAAGTGAAGTTAGCGCATCTGTTCCAACTTGGACCTTTAAAGTATTCTTCAGTACTTGTTTTTCGGCACCAACAATCTTTTTCTTGCACTAACTTCTTCAACTACTGAGCAGTTTTGCGTGTGTCTGAAATTATTTTCATTTTGTCGAGTTGGTGTGTTTTCGCTCTCACTGATTCGTATAGTCTAACTTCCGTTTGATCCGAGTGAAAAATACTTGGTACGATCTCTTTGACAATTTGATTTTCAAACTTCTTATGGTGTGATTCGTTTTCCATACGTAAGATTTTGAGGTGAAAACACGTGACTTTTTTAAAGTTCAAACTCCGTCTAGTAACCCATTGGTCTTTCCGATTACTTTTCTTCTTTTCGTGCACTTATGTCATTTCTGAACTGAACGATTCAATCGAAAAAGCTGGTTTGTAAATACATATCGCTATAAACACATCCCCACCGTTCTTATCCATCACAATTTATCTCCATCGTAAATCCTATTCATGCAGACGCCGCACAGTGGAACGAGCTCATAGAAGAGGTCGGCCATGAATTTTTGGGCTAAAATGGAGATGTTCCATGTGTGAGGAATGGGCGATTAGAATGTCGATTCTTATGTAAAAGTTCGTGAGAAACACGATGGTGCCGCTGGTTTTCCCAGAAATTAACTCCTAAACTCAAAAAAAGCTCTCAAGTTGAGGCCAAAATGGACGGGATATCCCACGCTATCCTGAGAGTCCCCCTCTACATCAAGACAAACTCTCTATGCAAAGGTAGGGAGCGAATACATTGACAGGGTTGCCGTGATTTCAGTTTGAAGAGTCCCCAAATAAGGTGGCAGGCGTGTCAATGTATTTGCTCCCTATCTTCGCATGGAGAGTTTGTCTTGATGTAGAGGTGGACTCTCAGGATAGCGTGGGATATCCCCTCCATTTTGTCCTCAACTTGAGAGCTTTTTTTGAGCTTGGGAGTTGATTTCAGAGAAAACCAGTGCCACCATCGTGTTTCTCGCGAACTTTTGCATGAGAATCAACGGTCAAATCGCAAATTCCTCACACATGCAACATCTCCATTTCAAATTTTGGTGTTTGTACAGTCACTAATTCAATTTCAAGGGGTGTTTCTGAAAGGAAATTTCACGAAAAACCCTATAAAACCACCCTCGAACTTTTCTTGTTTCATATTTTCGAAAATATAAGCTTTCTAAGTTTCCAGATTTTGTCTAACTTCTCCTATTTACTTGGTCCAGTGTGCGCCGATGCGTGCCGAGTCCTAAAATTCAGTCAGAGCCTCCGAGATGACGTCGTCACGTTCCATCAACCCTATTTTCCGTCCAACGTCAGAGCCTATTTCACTATCATCAAGCTGAATCACGAATTAAGGAGGATTCCCTTCCATTGTTATTTCGAGGAACTTCGAGGTGGAAGCTACGCATGCGCTGTGGAGATTCGCGGAATACTAACAAGAGTGCGCTAATTGTGACCTTGATCCAGACCAGCTAATAATAAAAACTTGGAGTAATTGTTAATAAAACTAATTGTGCTTGGGATGTGCATGCGAAAAAATACTTAATTGAAGAGTTACATTCCCTCACAGAGCACGATTTAGCTAGGAGACATGATCTAAATGGAAGACTTATTTTTC